AATAAATGAGAGTTATTGTACTATGTGGAGAAAATGTTGTAAATAAGGAATAGAATATAGAACCGAAAAGGGAACACACGATCTTTCCACATCACCACAAAAAATGCCCGAATTTTCACCGACAACTTTTAATTATTAGTTTCTATTATTCTATTATTATTATATTTATTTTTTTATTTTCTGTTTATTATTATATTATATTTATTTTTTTAATGATTTTTGATCGACAAGGTTCGAATTCTTCGTTGGATATTCAAAGACACACCTACATTAATTTTTTTTCTCTCCTAAAAGTTTTACTATAAAAAATAAATATACTTTTTTTGATAAAAAATAAAAAAAAAATTGATTATTTCTTTGATTATGTAAGAAGACATTTTGTTTCTGATCTTTTTACAATTATTCTGTCAAAATTTTATATGATTAAAACATGATTTATCACTGTTTTTAGGATATTATCTGTCTCACGAATTAAAATTGTTTGGGTTAATGACTAATACACCCCCAACATTTTTTGGGTTAATAACAATTAAACATGTTCTTCAATGAACATTTCTGCAAAAAATGAATACGAGGAGAAGGGAGAATTTGGAGTTGGATCAAAATCATTAGAGAATAAATACACATATATAGGTTTTATGTTTATAACTGATTTGGATAAGAAAAGGTTGAAATAAGATTTTATCAAAATCAGAAACCAAGAAAAAAAACTCTGTCAAAAACTCGTCTAACAGTGACTAAAGTGACTTTTCTTGCGGGTTAAGCCACACAAAAAGTCGTGAGCGACACTGTTCCTATGTAAAGATTCCAAAAACCCAATTCCTATGTGTAAAACTTCTACAAGAAGGCCAATTTCCTCTTGTCTCATCTAATTTCTTATCTCTTAAACAATTCAATAAGATAATTAAAGCTTATTATATATAACTCACTATAAAAGTAAGATTTCATTATTATTTCTATGCGAGACATAATCTCACCATGAAGACTATATATACAAAACTTAGTTTACGTGGCCTGGGCCACGTGCAGCCTAAGGCTCCCGACGTGTGGTCCGAACCAATTACGGCTTGAAGCTCTGTTGAGTTGTACCTTGAGCTACAGGAGTTGTGCAACATCTCAACGTTTATAACATGTACACCCCATCGTTCATATGTAAGTGTGCTCCTGTACATATTTCAATCAGATAAGGTTTAATATGATATGTACAAGGATTAATAAACAAAAAGAAAAAGCTTAAATAACCCGAACTCAAACATGCAGTATTGACGTTTACGCTACTTCTACCGTCTCTTTCCAATCTCTAAGATCTACAAGATATATTTCAAGATGCATTTTTGCATTAATTATTCAACAATTAAATCAATATAATTTTTTATTTTAGTTTTATTATTATATTTTTCAAAAAACGTGGTCGGTTTTATTTGATGTTTATGATTAATATTACGTGTCATCTCAAATTTTTTTTATAAGAATCTTTTATCTAATTAAAAAAATTATAATTAAAAATTGCATCTGTTTGAAGTTTGTACGTTCCTTCACATATTTGTCATACTCACAATATTCCACCGACAGTTCTGCTAGTTGCTCCATATACGTCACACTATTAACCATTGAACCATTTTTCATGCAAAATTGCTTTACGCGCCTAAAACTTTTTAAAAATAACGATCGTCACTTGATTTATAGGGGACATAGTTTGCTTCAGTTAATTACATTCTCATTCCAGTCAGTATGAGGTGCTATATTTTTTTTTGAAGTATGTAATATTTATATACAGCAAATAGAACAAATAAACTCACACACCCTCCTTATCTATGGTGAGATTTGAACCCTTGATTTAAGAGGCCAATGACTCACATACCGTTGAGCCAAAAGCCCTTTTGGTGAGGTGCCATATCTTTGATCCAATGAAAATATGGATCTTTATAACATGTAAGTTATGATTTCACATCATTTCAATAAATACAAGCATGTAATTTTATTTGCCATTAAAGAAAAGAACAACGTGTAACGTTTCGTAAAAGAAAATAAAGACGTTTACATTTTTTATAGTAATTTTCAACATTATGTATCAATTTGTTGCAATCAACGACAACAAGTTTTTCGGTTCTCATGCACGTAGTTTCCATCGTTAAAAGAGTAAACAAAAGAACAAATCATCCAATTTACTAAAATGATTATAACGTTAAACGTTAAAAGAAATACTTGAAACAAAAATCATTCCCATTTATTGGTGATTTTACAATTAAAAACCGACAAAACGTCTTCAATACGTAAACAAATATGAATTATCAATTAAAGCTATAAACGTCTTTCAAACTACATATCTTTGAACAAGTATTATGAAAAAACATGTTTTAGAAAATGACAATCGAATAAAAATATATTTAATCTTTTCGATGTAATTCGTTCTTCCATTTTATATAAATTTATTGATTATTCAACAAAAATTAATTAATTATAATACTTATTAGCAGATATTAGAAATAAGACAAACAACAAGGTAATATTACATTATGTAAAATAAATTACTGGTTTTACCTAATATGATATCTAAGAAATCAATCAAAACATAGTTTAAACCTGACATGATATTTTAAAAATTATTGGTATAAAAAGAGAATTACAGAATAGATGTGATTACAAGGAAAAAGGAACCAAATGGTTTTTGGCCTAGCGGTATCTGAGCCTCTTGCCTCCTAGGAGGTCAAGAGTTCAAACCTCAAAAATGATGAAGAGGGTATGCGAGTTTATTTGTAGCATTTGCCGTATATAAAATATATTATATACTTCAAAGAAAAAAAAAAGGAAAAACGTTCGTTTCTCATCGGTTCAGCGATGTAATAGCACTTTGTTGTAGGTTGTGTTCCGCCCTATTCATGTTTTTTTATGTTTAATGTTTTGGTTTTGTCTTTTGTTTCTTTCCGTTTCTTTAACGGCTTATGTCGTGATTTTGTTTATCTGTTGGTTTTTGTGTCTTGTAGAATTTTTATACTTTTTTTTTTGGGTTTATGTTATGCATGCCTTCAAAAATATGTTTAATTCAAATGTCGTGAATGATAGAAACAATAATAGTTTGTACACAGTATTTGAGTTAAATGACTGTTTCTTTCATTCAAATTGGTTTTTTAACCATTTATCTCCTAGATTGACCCAAATGTCACTACTTTCGCAATATCCAGGTCCGTAAGCTTAAGGCAAAAAAGTTTCAAATTCAACACAAATATGCAATTACGGTGACTAGATATACTATTGTGACGGTCAGGTCCGCAATTGCGACGGTAAACTAGTTGAATTTGATTTTTTTTTCCTTTTAGCTAAGTCCGCAATATTGTGGACCTGTATATTGCGGATATAGTGATATTTGACTCAAACCGGAAGAATGACGGTCACAAAAACCAAATTGAATTTGATATGTACACTTATTTATATTAAAATCAAGTTAAATCATACATAAAAAAATTTAAAATGTAAATTTTGGTGTTCATATATGTGAAGACGAAATTAATAGGTAAATATAAACTCAACAAATCATAAAGGTATATTAAGGGGTTGTTTATCAAATGCTTATTCGGGTAAGCGCTTACCACGTCATATTTCATTACTGGATGAATATGACAATGACCAAGAATCTTACTTGGTAAGAGCGAAGACAAGGACATAGAGTTTTACCTGGTAAGTGATGGCAACGACTCTTACCAAGATTAGCGCTTACCAGACAAATTGTTACATACAATGTCGTTTTGGTAGACTAAAATCTTACACAATAAGTAAGTGATATAATTGAATTTTACCGTTAAGCGTTTACCGAGTAAGTGTTTAGGTAAACGGTCCCTTGGAACATCTACATTAGAGGTTAGTGTAAGAACCTCATTACAAGAAACAACATTCTTATTAAGAAGGTATAAGTAGGGCTGTAAATAAATCGAACGAACACGAACAGATGCTTGTTTATGTTCGTTCGTTTAATTTAACCGAATGAACGAACGAACGAACACGAACGACAAACGAATGAAAATCTTTGTGTTCGTGTTCGTTCGTTTAGAAATTAGGTATGTTCATGTTCGTTTATGTTCGTTCATTAACAAGCTAAACGAATGTAAACAAACGAGCAAAACGAACATAAATGAATATTATTTGAATTCAAAATATATAAACAAAAGATTATATATTAAATTTAATATATAAACGAACATAAACGAACGATAAATGAACGAACGAGACTCTTGTTCATATCCGTTCGTTTAAATAAACGAACAAAAAAATTTGTTCATGTTCGTTCATTTATTAAATAAACGAACATAAACGAACTTCCCCTCGAACGGTTCACGAACGATTCGCTGAATATTCAGTTCGTTTACAACTCTAGGTATAAAAAACATTCTACAAAAATGTGTTAAGTACCTTTATTGCATATGCTCTCATCTTCTTCACAAAAATTGTACTGTAAAATAGAGGTAAGTTAAATGCGTTATTAACCGGGTTCTGTTTTCGGGAGACCTACTTGTTTTCGTAAGACCAGAAAATTACATTGAATCTTCACAGTAAAACACTGTGTCACAGTGTACAAAAAAAACCACCAAACCTTTACAACAAAAATACTGTAAAGATTTACTTTTACAGAGTTTTGTTGGGAAGATTCAATGTTAGTTAAGTGGTCTCACGAAAATAGATCGGTTTCAAATGAAAGTGTACACCTTTATATAATAATTTTCTCATTACATATATAAAAGAACATTTTTTATATTTTCAATCTATAATTTAATCTGATTCTTAAAAAAAAATAACAAAAAATTGTGGACATGTGAAAGAAATCATGCGAAAAGCAACACAAGAAAGTGTGGGGTTGATGAGTACGGATAAACAGTAAATGGAGAGGGGTGGAGGTGTCACAACCCAATTCATCATCATAATTTGCTGTCATCATAACTCCGCTGGATTATATATACGCGCAGAATCTGTCTCTATATATAGCGTGTGTGTGTGTTTCTATATATATTGATACAGCCATAGCTTACCATTCGGTGTGTCTTGCAGATATTTCAGCATCATAATCTTGGTGGAATCACTCCTCTCTCGCCCTCAAATTCATATTCATTCTGATACGTATCCGGATCCGGATCCGGATCAACTTAATGTAAGTTCATATTACTCAAACCCTTGTATTCTTAGAGTCAAGCCCTTGTGTTTTCAGATTAAGTGAATTCTAATGCTAATTGTGCGATGCGGACATTTTTGTCATGTTGATTAGATCTGATTTAATGTGTGTGTTTTAGCTTGAGATGGATCATACCAAACTTGTACGAACTTCAGTTTCGTTACAGATGGATGCTTACTCTGATCTAGATCCGTTTTAACTGGAATCGTGTTTTAGGTTTAACGTGTGATTTTGAGCGTAAAACAATTTTAATTTGGTTGCAGAGTTGGAAGTTGATTATTGTGCTTTTGGCTTTAGTTGCTGCTGATCTAGCTTGATTAGTGATCTCAAGCTCTCTACTTTCTCTGTTTTATAGTATTTCTTTTGCTTTTTAGGGAATCAATATTCATTAATTAGCTTGCTTTGACCACATGCTGTTTTTCATGCTTCATTCCAGTAAAATTCCTTTTGATGTATGATTTGCCAAAAGATACTGTTGAATTCTAAATTTGAAGTGAAGCTGCTTAATAAGTACATTAAGTTGTCAAATTTATCAAAGGTTTTAGCATGTGGATCTTGAGTTACATTGATCTTATTTATATGTTCAGACTGCTGCGGTATGACTACATATACACCAAAGAACATTCTCATCACTGGGGCTGCTGGCTTTATTGCCTCTCATGTCGCTAACAGGCTTATCAGAAGCTACCCAGATTACAAGATTGTTGTGCTCGACAAGCTTGATTATTGCTCAAATCTTAAGAATCTTAACCCCTCTAGATCTTCTCCCAACTTCAAGTTTGTTAAGGGGGACATTGGGAGTGCTGATCTGGTCAATTATCTCCTGATTACCGAATCCATTGATACCATAATGCACTTTGCTGCTCAGACTCATGTTGACAATTCATTTGGAAACAGCTTTGAGTTCACAAAGAACAACATTTATGGCACCCATGTGCTTCTAGAGGCATGTAAAGTCACTCGCCAGATTAGAAGGTTCATCCATGTGAGCACGGACGAGGTGTATGGGGAAACAGAGGAGGATGCTGTTGTGGGTAACCATGAAGCCTCACAACTTCTGCCTACAAACCCATATTCGGCCACAAAAGCTGGGGCAGAAATGCTTGTTATGGCTTATGGTCGGTCGTATGGCTTGCCTGTGATTACCACCAGAGGAAACAACGTTTATGGCCCAAATCAGTTCCCAGAAAAACTAATCCCTAAGTTCATTCTCTTGGCCATGAGAGGCAAGCCACTTCCGATCCACGGTGATGGTTCTAATGTGAGGAGTTATCTCTACTGTGAAGACGTTGCTGAGGCTTTTGAAGTCATTCTCCACAAGGGAGAAGTTGGTCATGTTTACAACATAGGAACTAAGAAGGAAAGGCGAGTTATTGATGTTGCCAAAGATATGTGCAATCTTTTCAAGATGGATCCTGAAGCAAGCATCAAATTTGTGGAGAACAGGCCATTTAATGATCAGAGGTACTTCTTGGATGACGAGAAACTGAAGAGCTTGGGTTGGTCTGAAAGGACCACATGGCAAGAGGGTCTCAAAAAGACCATGGAATGGTATACTAGCAATCCTGATTGGTGGGGAGATGTCTCTGGAGCACTTCTTCCTCATCCAAGAATGCTAATGATGCCTGGTGGAGTCGAGAGAGTTATTGATGTACCTGAAAACGTTCAATCTGATTCACCTCATGCAGCAGTCAATTCTTCTCAGATCCGAAAGATGGTCCCTGCTTCAAAAAGTAGTACCAACTCTCCTAATAAACCATCTTTCAAGTTTCTTATCTATGGTAGGACAGGATGGATCGGAGGTTTACTTGGGAAGTTGTGTGAGAAACAAGGAATCCAATACGAGTATGGTAAGGGTCGTTTGGAGGATCGATCACAKATTCTAGCTGATATCCAGAATGTTAAGCCCACCCATGTTTTCAATGCTGCCGGTGTCACTGGCAGACCCAATGTTGATTGGTGCGAATCTCACAAGACAGAAACAATCCGTACCAATGTCTCTGGCACGCTCACTTTAGCAGACGTGTGCAGAGAACATGGGATCTTGATGATGAATTTTGCAACTGGATGCATATTCGAATATGATATTGCACATCCTGAAGGTTCAGGCATTGGTTTCAAGGAAGAAGACACACCCAATTTCACTGGTTCCTTCTATTCTAAAACCAAGGCTATGGTAATTTCACTGCCCTTTTATCCTTGTTAGGGTCCCACATCAGCTAGATTTAAACCTCATTTTTTTTTCCTCGAAAGCTCTTTTGAGAGTAATCTAATGGGGTTTCACATATTCCTGCATGATATTAGAGCTAATGTGTACCCTTCTAAGCCCCCTCTCAACACTTTGGAACAATGTGTACTTGTCTAGTCTTTGTTGGAGGGGGCGATGTTAGAGTCCCACATATTGCATCAAATGTATATAAGAATGTATTTCTTATTTGTGCAGGTTGAGGAGCTGTTAAAAGAATACGACAATGTGTGTACCTTGAGAGTCCGAATGCCAATATCATCAGACCTCAACAACCCTCGAAACTTTGTGACCAAGATTGCTCGTTACGATAAAGTAGTCAACATTCCCAACAGCATGAGCATCTTGGATGAGCTCTTACCGATATCCATTGAAATGGCAAAGAGAAACCTGAAAGGAATCTGGAACTTCACAAACCCGGGGGTGGTGAGCCATAACGAGGTCCTGGAGCTGTACAAACAATACATAAATCCAGAATTCAAATGGGCAAACTTCACGCTGGAAGAACAAGCCCGAGTGATAGTAGCCCCACGGAGCAATAACGAGCTGGATACATCCAAGCTGAAGAAAGAGTTCCCGGAACTGCTATCGATCAAAGAATCGTTGATCAAGTACGTATTCGAACCCAACAAAAAGGCCTAGATAGCTAGTAAGGATTTTGTAAACCTGAAATGCTTATTACAATTATTACTATTATGTGTGGGTTATATAGATGTGTAATGCAAATTATAGCTGTTGGATGTTTCTATAAGTAGTAGCAGGACGAATAGAAGGCTTCTATCTGTTGTTATTTCTTGTTTGACTTATTTATCTACACAACAACTTGTTATACCAAATGATTCTATATATACATTGTTCTCTTTTCTCAAATGATTCTATATATACATGGTTCTCTTTTCTTGATCCAGTCTTTTTATGACTTGTTTGCTGCTGCTGCTGGTGCCTCACATTCTTTTCATGATTTGCCATTTTATATTTATATTTAAACTAGTTGTGTATCCGTGCAATGCGGCGGGAGCTGTGAATTTTAACGATTTTGAAGTTTCACTGGTTTTATTAGAGAAGATTTAACGATAATATAAGTTACACTAGATCTTTACATATTAATACAATTTGAATAAATAAGAGTTATGGTTCCAATTACAGTCTATCGATGAAAAAAATTGTATAACAGTTTAAAGTCCAATATATTTAAAATCCAACATATTTAAATGACTCCACAAATGTTTTCGATTTACAACAAGAGCAAAGAATCAAGAGATTGAGAGCGAGACCGAAAGTTTTAGAGCAATTGAATGAGAGATGAATGAGAGAAGTTTTAATAATTCATGGTGGATATTAGTTTGAATCTCACCTAGGGGGATGGGAACATGAAAAGAAAATGTAATAATGTGCATTGGTAACTTGTACTATAAGTTATTTTAATTGTAGATTAAGAGATTTTTAAGACTGAATGCATAAAGTAGTAGTACTTGATGCATTATGAGTTGTTTTTAAGACTTTGTGCATAAATGTATATTACTTTATGTATTAAAAATTGTTTTTAAAACTTTTGATAAATCTGCCTTATAAGGTAGTATAGATTAAAGGGCCGTTTACCAAACACTTACCCGGTAAGTGATTATCAATAAAATTTAACACTGTTATTTACTTACCGGGTAAAATTTTAGTTCACCAAAACGACATCGTACGCAACAATTTACCCGGTAAGCGCTTACCGTGGTAAGAGTCGTCACCCTCACTTACCGGGTAAGACTCATGAAGATACTTGGTCCTTACCATATTCATCCGGTGAGGTAATGTGACTTGGTAAGCCCTTACCCGGGTAAGTGTTTGATAAACGGACCCTAAATCTGATGGTGTTGTGTTAACTCTAAATAAATCAAAACCAACATGATGCAATTAACACGTATTAGAAAAGATATGCAATAACAGCATTAAACTGTAATTACTACTCATGATATCATTACACAATCCCTATTTATTAACAACACTATTCCCCGATTAGGGAACTTCATGTTACATATTCACGATGCTCGAGCAAGCTCTCTCAGAAACGAGACCACATCATCCGATGTCGGGAGAAGGTATCGTGCATTTGTACGTGTTCGTCCAACCGCACACGAGAAATAATTATCACCTTTTAGATCAAGTACATTCCACGTTATCTTATCCGGGGATGGTGATGGTGACGATCGTCTCCCACAAACACCGTTACTGTTATTGTTATTGTTACAGTTTCGCTTATTTTCTGCATTTTGTGGATGCCGTTGCTGAGCCTGCTTTTGAGATGATTTTGATCCACTTTTTCCGTATCTCCTATCTCCGGACGGCTTTGTAGCATCACTTAGCTTGGGTCTCGGGATGCCAATGCCGTCGGAGGGAAGCTCCGGCTCGAAAAATGTGTAAATGTCTTCATCCTGTAAACATGACCAAGGCAAAACCACATTTTCAGTATGAGAAATGTCCATTTAGGGAAAAGTTCTTTTAGAAACCTTAAATATTTCGAGAACCGTGAGAAACAACTATTCATGACAAATAATACATATATATTCATGAATATTTATCATGTTATTCCTCATGAATAGTTGGTTATCTGATTCTCAAAATACTTTACGGATTCTTAAATAACCCTTCTTGTCCAAATAAACCATTATAGGAGCTTTATCATTTGAAAAGTCCAAAATTTGTGAGATCCGTGAGAACTTCTACCTTAAGTTTTTGTTTCCCATGATTCTTTTCCATTTAAGTATAATATATAATGTATTGGTTAATATATGTTTGTTTCATATGTATCCGATTAACAATTTGAAACTTTCTTACTTGTACTTTTTGTTTCACAAACATGCCACAAAGGTTCTCATTCTGCACCGAGTACATGTGAGACAAACACATTGTGAAACAAATATATGTTAATCACTACATTAAATTCTAGCCATAGACGAATTTTTTATATATAAAATAGCACATGATGAACTAGTTCTCAAAGATCTCACAATTTAGAGTTTTATCAAAAAGGTCCCCCAACCGTCATATATTTAAAGTGCATGTCTTAAAACATAAAAGGTGTGGAGTATATATATATACCTTTCCTAGAGAATGGCCAACGCATAGGACATAATCGATCGGTGCAGAAATGGATTTGCTATGAACGATCTCTCCTAATATACGAACAATTGTAACACCCTGTTTGCATAAATAAAGATCAATTTGATTATAGGCGAAGGATCGTGTGAGAATGGAAGTTAAGGTGAGAAGCGTAATAAGATATCTGAACCCTTGATCACTTTTAATCCCATGCCCACCCATGAATTGCGTTTTAGAAGGGAATTGATCTGGTGCATCTCAGTGCACCTCATTAGTGTTGGACATTCAATCTTTAGGTGTATAACTTCTCTTCTCATCAGAACCCAACCCTTTGACTATATATATATATATATATATATATAGACGCATATTCACATGGTTGAAAACAAAATGAAACCGGCACCTTCGTAACACCGACGGCTCGGACCTCGACCGATCGGCTACCTTGGACAACATCCACCGACGCGTTAGATATTGGTCCTGTCCAGAGATGCTGCAACATGTCTCTGGCTTGCAGTCTCCCGAATTCCACGTCTGCATTCCCAAAAAATTGATGAAGAGAGACTTATTCAAAGGGATGCAAATTAGATCAATAAACTTACGTCCTATAATGCAGTCTATTAAGACATTTAGACATATTTGACATCCTATAAAGATATTTTGTGAATTATATGATACAAATAAAGGTGGTCTTCAACATTTATATGAAAATTTGAAACCGTGTGATCTTAATCAGACTCCATGTTCAACAATGTGAACCTAGGAAGCATACCTGCATACTTGTAGTTCCATACGAGTGATGTCTCACGAAGCTCGAAATGAGATCGAGGTGTTCTTTCAGTGAAATACTCAAAAACATGCTGTGAAAAGTTTATTTGAGGTCAAAGATCAAGAAACCGGAAGACAACATGATCAGAAGTAAAAATTGCATACACGAGTACCTTTACGCTATCCACCCATTCCATATTTGAATGTTCAGGCATCGTTGTCATCCAGTCGCCTTTTGTGGAACGCAAAAACATTCCATTCTCGGCTGCTAACCACATGTTGTACTCACCAAAGTTCTAGGAAAATCAGTACAAATGTTTAGAGTCCCACATCAGCTAAACTTGGATCAGAAACCTCCCCTTCTCTTTTCAAAGGGCTATTTTGGAGAGTAATTTAATGGGGTTCCACATATTTTCACACGGTATCAGAGCCAAGGTCCACCATTTAAGAGATCTTTTGCCTAGGAATCGACACTCTAGGACATCTTTGCCCATCTAGCCTCCATTGGAGGGAGTGTGTTAGAGTCCCACGTCAGCTATGTTGGAACATTGAACCCCCCAATCCCCGGGTTCTTTTTTGAGAGTAATATAACAGGGTTCCACGTATTCTAACAAAGAAGATTGTAGAAGTATCATGAAAACCATTGAGAAGTCAAAAGACAAAGATAGACGACTTACCTCATCCAATACCGCTCTGTCACTTCCACTGAGAACAACAATGGTCGTTTTCGGATCATTGCAAAGCCTCGTCAGAGGTTCTTTCAACTCGGGGTGTAATTTAAGATCCATTTCCCTTATTTGATCGCCTCCACGTCTATCAGGCGTATCAACTGGTTCAGTTAAAGTCACATTGAATCCCTGTAGTTTTTTATGTCGAAAAAACAATTATATCAAACTAGAAAATGCATATGAGAACACTTTTTTAGAACTCAAATGCTAAAATCCCAGTTTTAGATCATTGTGTTTACTTGCCAGTATAAGCAGTCGGTTACTTGACTGCAGATAGCGCTCAATAGCTTCTTCAACCGGAAGCGGTGGTGGAACTTGTCTAATCCTTTGCTCTGCTTCAACCACAGTATCGTTCAGTTCACTACATGATGTACAAAAAATCAAACCTTTAGCGTTTCAAATATTGTTAGCAGCTTAATGAGCTTAATGGGACTCAGTTTATTCGGGCAACTATACATGACTGTTTGATAGTGGCTTAATGATATAGAAAGTGGCTTATTCAATAAGCTTTTATGAGGGAGCTTTATGCAGAAAGCCAGGTTTTTTCCAAACATGCCCTTCCAATTAAAAAACACGTTCCTTCCCTCTATGAGAAAACTTTTCCAAACAAAAACCTTTCCAATCTATACAAACAGATTAATGTACAATGACAACTTTATCCATACAAGACTTAATGGAAAACCTCAACCAAACAGCCCCTAAATGTTTTATAGACTGCTTTATAGGACTTAAGTTTATATGATTCAAATAATTAAGGTGTTAAAATAAGTTGATACAACGCTTTTGGGGGCCCTAACAAGTTACTAGTTTTTTTGTATGACATTATTTGAAAGTTTTATAAAAATAAGTGTCCTATACAAATATATGTTCATAGGACACTTCTCAAAAGTGTTATATAAAAACTTCTGTTAAAATGCGCAAAAGCGTCTTATCAACTTACCGTAACACCTTTACATATGACACACAATTGTTTGGTCCAGTCTTGTAAAACAATATGTTAGGACATTTAAACATAGTTGGCGACTTTTTTTTTTTGTAAGGGTGTCCGGGCCAAAGCCCGACTAATCCCCGGCAAATTTGGAGGCTAAACATGGCCCCACTTAAATGTCGCCAACACTCCCCTCCCAGGGCTCGAACTCGGGTTCATGACTATGCCATGCCCAAGCCTTTACCACTAGGCTGGAAGGTCTTTGACCATAGTTGGCGACTTGGCGTCTTATAAAACCGATTTCGTTGTAGTGACTGATATTATATGGTCCTTTATTCAATTTCTTTTACTGAATTCTTAATTAAGAAAGCAAAGTCCAAACGTACCTTACAAAAGTTTCTGCCCATTCTTGAGCCGTGTGGGTTGTGACGTGCAAGAAGTTATGCAGATGCCGCTTTTCTCTTTCTTCGGCTGACATATTCAAAGCTTGGCCTATGGAAGCTGCAACTTCGGTTATGTTCCATGGATTAACGAGAATGGCTCCAGCACCCAAGGACTGTGCAGCACCAGCAAACTGCAGGTGTACCGGAGAATGGTGATTTAGATTAATAGAATCTTATGATGGTGAATCTTGAATGCCTTCTTGTGAGGAGATCTATAATAATAAAGTGGTGATAATTACTTCACTTAAAATGAGTACTCCTCTTTTAGCATCTTGGCATGCAACAAACTCATAACTGACAAGATTCATTCCGTCTCGCAAAGATGTGACAAGTGCTATATCTGGCAACATGAGGATGAAAACGCATCATCAGTCATGATGGAATTCGACAAATCCATTTGAATGTTCTATCATTTGCCATTTAGAAAAGAATGAAGTGCATATAGATATAGACCACACATAGTTGATCTTCATATTTCGAGCAGTTCTTGGAATCAGATTGGCATCAGCGACATGGTCTGGTAAGACCTTGACTAGCTTAAAGAAAAATGAGAGAAAAAAAGGTAAAAAGACCAAAATGCCCTTTAGTTCAGAGAGACCATAAGTGAAAGGAATTGCAAACCACGGTGATCACCAATGTAATAAATGAAGTTTGGGGATGAAAACCGAAATTTCTAACATACCACCGGAGTACAGGATGAACAATGTAGTTTACTATGAAATTTTGAAAACTTCCCTTTTATGGAAAGTTGCCAAGTTAAAAAGTGGTACCGAGTCACGGGTATTGATTTGGGTCCACAAGATTCTTCTGATCTGTCTTTATTGAAGGGTATAAATATCTAACGCTTTTGTTAAACCATGTGTCAAGTAAAATATGACGAATTTCATGAATGGTGTGCAAATTACTTAACCCAGGAAGAAGTCCGGAATGCAAATATCATATAAACTGTGAGAAAAAGAGAGAGGGGATCAGTACCAGTGACAGCATAGAGTGCACATAAAGCTTGAAAATCAAGAGATCGGTCCTGCAGATATCACATGATGATCTTTGAAACTCGATAAACACCCCACCTATCACATTACAACACTAAATTCCGCAGTTTCTGTTTATCCCATCATTTTTAAGTTTATTTTGGTAAAGAATGTATGCATATATGTTTCATTGACTATTTTGGCAAACAAAATTTCTATTTCTACTCAAAACCAAATAAAAATTTAGGCTACTAATTTAAAATGGAAGGCTAACCAGATGGTGAATTGGAACAGTTGTCAATGTGCCAAATCTACCATTTATCCGTCCCACAATTTCATGAACCTGACTTGTGAGTTTTTGATCTGTAAAAGCACATAATTGAAAACCAAAACTATATGTCAGGTGTATTAGAACTAAAACTTGATATGCGTACACATATACATATCGATTAAGCAAGAAGGCAACTTAAAAAGATACAGATATTGTGAAGACATACATTCAGGAACATCAGTTCTTGTTGGTACTGCAATCTGTAGCAAAACCACTTTATCGTGCCAATATTGATTTTCTTCAAGAAACTTCTCGAATGCCAGTATCTTCTGGGGAATGCCTTTGATCATATCTAGGCGATCGACACCTAACATCACCTGTCAAAACAAGAAAAAGTATAGAGGATCAAACATAACTATTGAACCTATTTTTCATGGAAGTATAGTTCCCTGCCATCTGATTTTTCTTGCAAAAGGCTGCACATATTCGATTACCGTATTCTCTATAGTGGGTTGACCCAATTATTGTTGTCCTTCGACTAATAAGCATTGATATAGAAATTATGTATGCAAGCTAGGTCATCTTATTTTAACATGTATGGCCCCAAGTATCAAGAATAAAGAATAAACCAGAGAGTAGAGTGGATGTTTTCATGAAGACCCCCAACTTGTAAAAAAGTGTGGCAAAGAGAGACATATGTTTTGAAAGGTGGCAAAAAGATGCAAATAAAAGCAGGTACAAGAAAAACATAATCAAGAAAAAAGAATGAAGAATGAAAAAGTAAAATCACCTTTCTCCCAGAAAACCTCTCCTTCAATTCTCTGATGTGCTCTTGGACTTGAGGAGCCTCGAGAGCATGGATGAAACGGTCTGAATCTATACCTATTGGAAACTGCGGTTTCATCAATTAAAGTACAAACGTCAGAGAATAGGACTACATCTTAAATGTGAAATCGCCTATATATACCATATACAATGATATGGGGAAGTTCAAATGAGAATCATATATATTTTGAGAACCTGAAAACCAACTATTTCATGTATTATTCATTGTTGAAAGGTAAGCCAAACATCTTGTTTCATCTGTTTGTTAACTGTTTTTGGTGGTTGGCCGTTAGTGATCGTTAACAGCAGTTACTCTTCCCGCCAAAACTGTTTTTCAACCGTTGTGTCTGTTAGTTTTAGGATACGATTGTTGGGGTCTGTATTTAACTCTTGTTTTGTGTTTCTTGTTTTATCGATGATGTATCTTGACATATTTCAGTAAACGTATATGAATTATGTTGTTTGTGTAAGTTAAGTATTTGGTATTCATTCCTTTGAATACTCAACAAATGGTATCAGAGCCATATCCGTATGGCTTCAAGTTCTCAAAGTATGTTACAAGCACAAATTCAGTTACCCAAATTGAATGGAAGGAATTACTTCCATTGTAGTATCCAGATGAAGGTGATGTTTGAGTCCCAAGACTTTTGGCCGATTATTCAAGAAGGAGTTATAGAACCAGAAAATCCCACTGCCCTTACAGTTCAACAAACTAACGCTCTTAATGAAGCAAAAAGGAAAGACATAAGAGTCTTGTTTTTGATCTTTCAGGCAGTGGATGAAAATATATTTGAAAGGATTTCATCCTCTCAATCTGCTAAAGTAGCGTGGGAGATGCTGTTTAAATCCTATAGAGGAGAAGAAAAGGTCAAGGTTGTTAGACTTTAGGCTCTAAGGTGTGAATTTGACAATCATAAGATGAAAAAAACTGAAACTATAGAGGAATACCACAATAGGGTGATTGTTCTGATCAATCAAATGAGATTGAATGGTGGTTGAAAAGGTTTTGCGGAGCCTCACCAGAAATTTTGAATATGTTGTGGCTATAGAAGAGTCCAAAGATCTCTCAGATTACTCTTTGGAAACTCTCCTAGGGACACTCCAATCACATGAACTCCGCATGAGACAATTTGATACACCTGTGATGGAACATGTCTTTCAAACTCATTCAACATGGGAGTCAAATGCAAGTGAGAAACAGAAAGGACTGGATTTGAGTAAAGATGAACAAGGATCAAGTTACACCAGGAGCAAAGGCAAGGTAAGCCCTTCTCTCAAATAAAATGTTTTTATTGTGATAAGATAGGACGCACTATTAAATTATGTAGAAAGAGAATAGCAGAAGAGAGTAAAACCTCCAGTTTTATACATAAATAAGACTACCAAAATGATGATTCCATGTTCATGATGTTAATATTGTTTTTAAATGTCATTTAACGTTTTATTTAGTATATTATTAAGTTTGTATTATGTATAATTAAAATAATTGTGTCATGTGACACATCAGCACACTAAGGCAGTTACTTAACTGATTTGGTGGTTATTTTATTGAACCAACACAATGGTTGGTAAGTGTCGTTTAGGATCTATATATATGTATATCTAGGCTGTCGAACAGCAGTGTGTGTGTGTGTGTATGTAATTTGTATTCAAGTTTATGTAAGGATATTTTTTGTAGATTATGTGTTCTTCATATATATATCTTCAGATATATAATCAATTGCTTCAAATGGATTGTTGAGAGGACAATCCAGTGGAACAAACACACAAGGGAAGTCTAAGCCGAAGGAGAAATTGAATGGGAAGAACTTCGGGATTTGTTCGAAGGCTTCATAATACTCGAATCAGAAATCTACAAGGTATTAGAAGTATGGAACTCGCAAATCTCCTTCGAGATTGGAGCAACGGTGGTGAGATCAACATGAAAAGAGTCCGGAAACCGACATGTTATTGGTGCAATGACAAGGGTCATTTTGCGTGGGATTGTCCAAAGAAAGGAGATCTGTTAAGGTTTTGATAATTCGTGTGTTGTCCCTTCTCATTCCTCAATATTTATAACAATACAATTTACATTTAGGTACCACCGACTATGCTAAGTATTGAAAATATAATACATAATAATATAGACTAATACACCCCCGCAGTCTAAGGTGGAGGTTCCCGTAAGCTTAGGCTGGATCGAAAATCATCAAAAAGAACTCGGGGTAGGCCTTTAGTGAATATGTCTGAAAAATTGTGTCAAGACGGTACATGAAGGACTCGAACTTGACCACGTTGCACTTTCTCGCGAACAAAGTGAATATCCACCTCCACGTGTTTTGTCCGTTGATGTTGAACCGGATTGCCGGAGAGGTAAACAGCACTGATGTTGTCTGTAAAAACGAGAGAAGCAYGGCTGATAGGGCAATGTAGTTCAAGAAGGAGATTACGGAGCCAACAGATCTCGGCCACAACGTTGGCCACCCCTCTGTATTCAGCCTCAGCACTGGAACGGGAAACAACTGACTGTCGTTTGGAAGACCAGGAGATGAGGTTGTCGCCAAAGAAGATGCAATACCCAGATGTGGACCGTCTAGTATCCGGACAACCTGCCCAGTCAGCGTCTGTATAAGCAATAAGATTAGAGAGAGGAGATGCCTTCATCATAACACCCATATTGAGAGTTCCCTTGACATATCTCAGAAGCCGCTTTAACGCATGAAGATGACCGGTCCGGGGGGCATGCATGTACATGCATATCTGCTGCACCGCATAAGAGATATCGGGTCTGGTAAACGTCAAGTATTGCAACGCACCTGCCAGACTTCGATAGGTGGTGGGATCGTCAAGAAGTTCGCCAGACGTGGCGCCTAGCTTACCGGCAGTGTCGACCGGGGTGAGGACCGGATTACAGTCATTCATCTTGGCACGAGCTAGTATTTCCTGAGCATATCTGGCCTGAGATAAAAACAGACCGTCCAATGACCGCTGTACCGATATACCCAGAAAATAAGAAAGAGGACCCAAATCTTTCATGGCAAATTGTTTAGACAGGTGAGACATGAAGTGTGCCTTAAGTGCCGGAGACGAAGTGACTAGAATAATGTCATCCACATATAGAAGAATATAAGCCACATCACGTCCCTGATGGTGGATGAACAAAGAGTGATCACTCGAGCTGAGTCGAAATCCCAACTGAGTGACATAGTCGGTAAACCGCTGTACCAGGCTCGCGGTGCTTGTTTAAGACCATACAGTGATTTCTTCAGACGACAAATATGATTAGGAAAGTTAGGATCCCGAAACCCCGGCGGCTGATGCATGAAAACAGTCTCACGTAGATGACCGTGCAAAAATGCATTCTTAACATCAAGTTGAGAGATATCCCAGTGATGATGTAAGGCAATAGTAAGAACTGTCCGGATGGTTGCTGGCTTAAATACTGGACTAAAGGTGTCCGAACAATCTACCCCTACYTGTTGAGTTCKGCCATCCSCAACCAACCGTGCTTTATAGCGTTCCAAAGTTCCATCGGATTTCAACTTGTGTTTATAAATCCACATGCACCGAATTATGTTCATGTCAGAGTGCCGAGGTACAAGTTCCCATGTCKTATTATCAATAAGAGCAGAAAACTCTTCCGTCATTGCTTGGTTCCAAACAGGACTGGATAAGGCATCGGTTAGATTTTTGGGGAGCGGTTCAATGTTAGAAGAAGTGTGTAAGGAGAACGGGGTTTTGGGTTTGGAATTACCGGTCATGCTACGGGTATGCATCGTTCTAGTAGGTGGAGGTGGTGGTGGTGGATTGGGTGGGGAGTTGTTTGGTGCAGGAGGTGGTGGATGAGACGAAGGACCGGGCTGTGTTGGTTGGCTAGAGGCAGCGGGTGGGGCGGTGTGCTTGTGGCGTAACCGTGAGTAGGTTTGACCAAAACGGGAGGGGGTAGGGGTCGGGTGGGGTTGCGTAGGGGTAGAGGGAACCGTGGGTGAGGGGGCTGTAAGATGAGGGGAATGACGAATGTATGGGTGTTGATCGTCGTCGATGTTCTTGTGAAGAAAGTCGTAAGACGAAGTGGGCGGGAGATGATGATCTTTTTGCTTGACATATCTAGACAAAGGTACCCGCGATGATTTGGAGGGTAACCAAGAAAAACGCAAGGAGAAGAGCGGTTTTGGAGTTTGTGGATGGAGGAGGAYGGGAGGAGAGGGTAGCAAAGGCACCCAAAGGTGCGAAGATGAGAGTAGGTAGGGGAGGTACGGTAAAGAAGGTGKGTGGGAGTAAGGTTTGCCTTTGTTTTAGAGGGTAAAATGTTAAGGATATAGGTGGCCATGGCGAGGGCATAGTGCCAAAAAGAAGGTGGGAGAGAGGAGTGAGTGAGAAGGGTTCGAAGAATGTTATTGATTGAACGTATTTTACGTTCCGCTTTACCGTTTTGTGAAGAGGTGTAGGGACATGAAAACCGAAATTGCATCCCGTTTTGTTTACAAAAAGTGTGAAACATAYGGTTGTTGTATTCAGTCMCATTATCGCACTGAAAGGTTTTTATRGAWCRTTCAAATTGAGTGCGAATGAGAGTATGAAATTGCAAGAAGGTKGAGTAAACAGCCGATTTATTTGATAATGGGAATGTCCATAGGAAATTACTATAATCGTCCAAAAACAATATATAATACCGATGGCCACTCGTACTAGGAACGGGTGACGTCCATAGATCGCTATGAATCATGTCAAAAGGAAAAACAGTAGTAGATAAAGAATCATGAAAAGGTAGCTTAATGTGTTTGCCAAATACACAAGATTGACACAAATGTGTATTATTCAAACTGGAAACAGAAATTGAGTTTCGCTTATTTAAATAACGCAATAAAGAGGCGCCCAGGTGACCCAATCTTTGATGCCAACGATCTTGAGAGAGAGCAGCAAAAGTGGACGGAGAAGGGAAGTTGGCCGTTGGGAAAGATAGAGGATAGAGGTCCCCGGAGCTGTTGCATCTAAGGATAGGGAGCTTGGTCTTGAAATCCTTCACAAGAAAACCAAAACGATCGAATTCAATTGAAACATCATTATCAGTAGTTAAACGTCTGACAG